TTTAATGCCAGCATAATTTGTGGGTTTTTTTAATTTAGTTGGTTGAGTTTTGAAAGGATATTATTTCTCAAAACAGAAAAATTGAGATACAAAACATGTAACCTTTTAGACACGTTTTTTAACCTTTTATAAAGTTGTTCATCTATATTCCTGCAGGAGGGGTGTTCTTTTATTTTGTGGTTTGTTTTTGTTTTTGCCAAACTTTTTTATTTAGTATTATGTAGTTGTCTAACACACAGTTAAATGGTTTTATTGGGGGAAGATAAAGGAGAGGTTCTTGTAGATTCCCAAGGAAATGCCAAAAAAAAAACCCCGATATATGACCAGCATTATCGATGAGCTTTTTTGGGTTTACTGAATTAATAGTACTTTCCTTATGTAAGCACCTGTTTTCAGGTTTTTCCCACTGAGAACACTGAGATTTCAATTTGAAGACACCCTGAAATCTTAAAGAGTAGCAAACCCAACTACCTTTCTATGTTATCCATCTAGCTTATTTACATAGCAGAATGATTCATCTGTCCATTTTAGATATCTGTGAAAGATCTTAGTATTGCTTGCCTCATTTACTGGGATTAATCAAATAGAAAGTGGCTTTCAGGAACATTTAAAGAGAATTACAACACTAGTACACAAGTCAAGTCTTACACACTTAACATTTGCTTGTTGAAAGCAAAGTCATAAAAGCAAATAAAATTAAACATATTCACTGCTTTCCCTCACAAGAACATAAAAATTATGGAGAACTTAACAGGAAATTTTAAAAAGTAACACAATTTTTTCCTTTCAGTAGTCCTTGGGTAGTCATGATAGAATAGGTTCCACTCTGTTTCATTGAATAAGGATTTTGGTCCAAAGTTTTGTTTGGTTTTAGTATCTGCTTCTGCCTCCCCCTCTATCAGATCGGCTTCCTCTGCGGCCATAGGTGCTCTGCAGCTTGAACTGCTTTAGGAATCTCGTGGAGGAGGGTACCCCCTTTCCATAGAAGGAGGAAGCCCTCGTTCTTGTCTGCCAACCCGATCACGGCCACTTGAGTAGAGATCACTTTGGCTGCTTGAGTAACTGTCTCCACTTCCACCATATCTGTGTCATGGGCTGCTGTAATCATCATAGCGACTGCTTCCGCCGTTAGATGTCAGGGGCCCTCATGAAGGTGGAGCACTATGTGAGTTACCGTAACTCTCATAGGAATTTCTGTAGGAACCTCCACATGGACGATCTGAATAATCACAATCACGATCATAGCCAACTCTATCACTCTAGCCTCTGGATGGATGTCATCGCATGAACTGGAATGACCATAATCACGATATGTATAATCTCTTGGTGGTGGTGCATAATCTCTTGGATCCGAGAATGTGGGTAATCTCTGCTTGAATAACTATCCTTAGTAGAATATCCATTGTCTCTTGGGACAAATATCTCTACATGAAGGTAAGGGTTCCCTTCTTGGTGGACCTCCATAACCTGTCTCTCCCACATGATACAGGTGCTCTTCCACCCATTCCACTACTGCTTCCAACTGTTCCTGAAGGGGCTGGTCTTTTAGGAGGGGGCCCTCCACTTCGTGGTGGTGGTCCCCTTTTCACTGGCAGTGGTCCTCAGGAAGAACTCATGTTAAAATTCATAGGATAGCCACCTTCATCCATGTGACCCCCACGTGAAGGGGGTCCCCTGGTTCCTCCACTTCCTCCTCTTTCACCTCAAAGACCTCTTGGAGGACCTCTGCTTCTTGGAGGTGGAGAGGGTCCACACCTATCACTTTCAAATGTTGATTTAGTGATTTATTTCCACTTTGATGGCCTTTCCATCCAAGGACTTTCCATTGTATCTCTGGGTGCATCTTTGGAACCTGCTGGGCTTTCAAAGGTGACAAAAGCAAATCCTCTTGACTTTCTGATTTCTCGTTCTTTCATCAAGAACACTTCTATGAATTGTCCATATTTGCCAAATAGAGCTTCCTGGGCTTTCTCATTTGTTTCTGTATTGAGCCTTCCAATGAGTTATCAGTTTCAAGTATTTTCCCTCCAGGGGTGTGTATTGCAAACCAGATGACCATTCCAAGCTCCTTTGAAGCTCTTCGATTGGATTGGCGCTTCCGTGAGGCTCCACATGAGGGCCCACCGCAGGGTCAGAGGACCAGAAGGAGAGGAGAAGCTGCTTGCATGGCTGTGCAATAAGCTGCAGGAGAGTTGGGGGGTTTTTAAAAATTTCTTTTTAAAGTACATTATTATATTCAAGTTTTCTATCAGAACTGAGACTCTTGTTGATAGGCACTGTCAAGTTGGCTCCAACTGATAGTGACCCTGTATAACAAAACAAAACTATCTGATCCCATGCCATCCTCACAAACTCTGCTGTGCTTAAGCTTATTTTAGTCACTGTGTCAATCCATCTCATTGGGGGTTTACTTTTTTTTTACTTGTATGCCCTAAACTTTTCTAAACCTGCTGCCCTTCTCCAGGGACTGACCTCTTCTGATTACATGTCCAAAGAATGTCAAGGTTGTCAAGTCTCACAACCCTTACTTCTTTAAAAAAAAATAAAAATAAATAATTTAATTGTGTGTGTGTGTGTGTGTGTGTGTGTGTGTGTGTGTGTGTGTGTGTGTGTGGTCAAATCGGATCTGACTGGTACAGGAGCAGACTGTCCCTCCTTCTCTAGCAGAGCATCTGGTGGATTCGAACTACTCATCCCAGTGTAGCGACCCTTACTTCTAAAGAGCAGGCTGGCTGTCCTTCAGGACGGATGTGTTTTTTCTTTTGGCAGTCCATGATATACTCAGTCCTCTTTGGCAGTCCTCTTTTAGTATTCAGTGCTACAGTCCAGGAGCATCTTCTTCAATCTTCCTTATGTAGTATCTAACTTCCATATGTACATGGAACAATTGAAAATACTATGACTTGCACGAGGCACATCTTAGGTCTCAAAGTGACATCCTTGCTACTTAGCACTTTAAAGAGGTCCTTTGCAGATTTTCTCAGTGTACTATGTTGTTTGATTTCTTGACTGCTGCAACCCTGGGTGTTGTGGATCAAGTAAAATTAGAGGAGGTATCTTTTCTTAATTTCTCCTTTCTATGCACTAGACCAACCACTATACATGTCTTTAATTAAAGCTGTGAAATGTGTTATAATTTACTTAATTCCCCAAGCAGTCAGATTGGTTGATGATGTAGATTATATTTTAGTGATGTTTGAATACCACTCAAGTTACTAAAAATGTGTGTTGATACAACATTGTTGAAACAAGAACAAATATGTTCTTGGGTTAGGTTTGTTTGGGTTTTAATTTGCGACAAATATAACTTACACTTTTTCAGACCAGTTAGGTTGGTCTAGTACTTTTAAACATGCACTCACATCCCTTCATGAAAAATGAATCAAAGTAGAAAGAAAGGAAGAACAAAAATCATCCATGTTTTGTCTAAAGACATCCACTGGAAATCTTTTCACTGTGTGGGATGGATGTTCGATTCCAGGCACTGCTATAAAATGACTATTGTAATAAAGCAAGCTATAGAAACATTTTGCTTTCCCAAGACATATAAAAATTATGTTTAGGGGGCCTGTCCTGCGTGAGCTCGGCCGGTGTACCCAGTATACCTACCCCCTGTCCACTTCGTGCCCTTTCGGCGGCCAGTGTCCACCTATCCTGCCCCATCATGCTGTCTCTAGACTTTTTGGACGATGTGCGGCGGATGAACAAGTGGCAGCTTTATTACCAAGTTCTAAATTTTGGAATGATTGTCTCCTCAGCACTAATGATCTGGAAAGGGCTAATGGTAATTACTGGAAGTGAAAGTCCAATTGTAGTGGTGCTCAGTGGCAGCATGGAACCTGCTTTTCATAGAGGAGATCTTTTCCTAACAAATCGAGTTGATGATCCCATAAGAGTGGGAGAAATTGTTGTTTTTAGGATAGAAGGAAGAGAAATTCCTATAGTTCACCGTGTCTTGAAAATTCATGAAAAGCAAAATGGACATATCAAGCTTTTGACTAAAGGAGATAATAATGCAGTTGATGACTGGGGCCTCTATAAACAAGGACAACATTGGCTAGAGAAAAAAAAGATGTTGTGGGAAGAGCAAGGGGATTTGTTCCTTACATTGGAATTGTGACAATCCTTATGAATGACTATCCCAAATTTAAGTACACAGTCCTCTTCCTGCTTGGTTTGTTTGTGCTGGTCCATCGTGAGTAAGAAGTCCACCTTGCAGTTCCTGGGAAGATGCCGTACTTTTTGTTACTGAACGTTTGGAATAGATACTGACCTGTGACTGGTGGAATGGAGACACGTTCTGGCACTTCTTGGCAGCACTGGTTTGCATTAGGTTATGTTTCCACACAGGATGTGTGGGCGGGTTGTGTGCACCTCGGTGTGCACTCAAGGGGACTTGCAATCACAGAATTTCATATGTTGTCATTGTCACACTTTCACATTTTTTTACATCAGTGAATTTTTTATATTAAAAAGTTGACCCAAAGCCCCCAGTGTTTGTATTTTGAAGTCCAGCTTCACTTCTAAAGTGCCTCCAGAGTTCTGTGAATGAAAATGCAGCTCTGCACGCGTTTGAAGCTGCCGTTCCCCCTTCTGATGGGAATGGCCTATGCTGAGGTGGTCATAAGTCTTAACTTTTCAAATTTTAAATAAAAGACTTTGCACATTAAAAAAAATATGTTTATAAAGAGTTTGAAATATTGAGAGAATTAATAAAATGTGACACAAAGGCAGGAGGTTAAATACGTGCTCTTGGGGGAGATGGGATGGCATTTATAGAATTGGCTTAATGTAGGGTTATAACAAACCTTTACTTTGTAAAAAGTACATTATTTGCTAAGTAAAATAAAGCAAAGCATAATGAACCATGGTATGTCTGTGTTGTCTCTCTCTGTCCTGTAAGGTTGCTCAGTAAGTTTTTCTTCTCTTAACTGAGTGATATTTTATGGTATGCCTTTGTCAAGTAGCCCAATAAGAGATGGCTTTTTTTTTTCCCCAAGGGAAATTTGAAAATGGTGTTGCAGAAGGAATGGTGGATCCGAGTCTAAACCCCGTTTCAGCCTTTCGACTATCAGTTATTCATAACTCTGCTGTTTGGGCCATTATTAATGAGGTAAGGAAATGTATCCATTCAATGAATGAAATTACTACTTATAACATTTTGATTCTGTGTTTAAGATATATTTGGGATTGACAATTTATGGCTTTTTCATACTTTTTGTTCTTTTCTATTTCAGATTCATATTAAAAAAGTCACCAACTGAATCATCTCCTAAGAAACTGATACATTTTTTTCCCTGTGAATTTGTTTAAAGATAGATAAGCATGTACTTTTTTTTTTTAAACTTGAACACTACCTCTTGTGAAATCTACTGTAGAGAAGAAGACTGTCATTTCCACTTGGAAAGTGAATCTCCCATGGATAACTTTATTCATTTGAGCCTAAGCTGTCCTCCAATTTTAACTTGACTCAAACATTTTACAGTCATGACAGCCTGTTATTATGACTTGGACTATTTTGGTATTATACTAATACATAAGAGTTGTACATATTGTTACATTACTTAAATTTGGAAAAAAAATTAAGTTTAAGAACATTTTATGAAGGGGGTACTTTTGAAGTTCATTTATTTTACTACTACGGACCCTCTTTTCTAGATTATCAGGGATAATATATATCCATAGATGTCTATATCTCTATAGATATATACTTATCTATAGAGATATAGATAAATATATCTAGAGGTATCTAGAGATACAGATATCTCTAGATATATAAATATAGACATAAGTATACATAAAATGTTATGGAGTTTATTTATTAGAAACACTTAAGAAGTACATATTTTTGTGCAGTAAATTTTTGAATTGACACTTTTTTTGAAAACCAGTTACCTTGCTTTTTTAAGTTCTTTCTATATTTTTCTTTGAAAATGCAAACATTACAACTTAATGCCATTTTTCAAATGCACTGCCATTTAAGAATGATTCTAGATTGATTTCCTAACTAAAGTACTTTTATAAATTCAGTGACTCTGAACAAAATTTTTTCAAAAGCATTTTCACTCCTTAAAACCAAGATTTGAAAGACCAATGTCCTTCTTGAGGGTTATTCTACTATACTGGGTATGGTGTGTGCGTAGGTGTGAGGCATTCAACCTTAATCAGACTCAACTCCCCACATTTCTCTCTGATATGTAAAGTGAAAAGCTCTTCTTTTTAATCTTTGTCTTTAACCCGTGAATTAGATGTTTTCTCTCGTTTCTTGTTTATTCTTCTATATCTGTCCTCATCTTATGAGTTCTGACAGAATGTTTCCTCAGCAGTGCTGTTGTTTGAGTCCTAAGATAATTAGTTTCATATTAAAGAAAAAATTGAAATACTGGTATCAGTGAAAGGTATTGTAACAATTGTATGTTTTTAATTATTAACTTTATGGAAAACCTTATATATATCTAAAAGGAATACTTACTACTCTTAGTCATCTCATTCCCAAAACAGTGTTGTTATTACTACAAAGAATATTATCGCCCTCAGGATTGGAGATCTATTTTAAAAAGCGTTTTTAGAAAGTATGAATTCTCTCCATCTGAGCTTCCTGGTGTATCTCACGTGAGTGATGGGTGGTTGACAAATGTGCAAAGGTTGGTCCCTTCAGCCATCAGCCTGGAGGAGCTTTGTTGTGGCCCAGTGTGCTGAATGATGGCTTCAAACACAGCATATCCTGCTCAGTGCCAGGAAGTCCCAAATGTTCATACACACTGACAGCGTACTCTTACTTCCATCACTGCCTATCGTTTGTTGTCTTTCGTTTACTCTTCTCTAGTAAAAACTTAGAAGTCACCAAAGCGGATTTTTATGTCAGTTAAAATTTGAAGGTTTTCATTTATTTCCATTTATTTATTTTTTTTAATCTCTCCTCAAACTTACTTGGGTCAGTGCACACAGGCAAATTTCATTTGAAACTAATCACCTTTTGTTACACATTTTTGACACCAGTTAGTGTACTAGATCCCTGCTTTATAAAAACCAAAACAAATCTAGCTAACACAAGTAAAAACCTGTAGCAGTGCATGTCACAGGTATTGGCTAGTTTCCCTGGATCCTGACATGCCAGCTGGTTTCCAGAAGGAAGTCCATGCTTTGAAAACCTAGAGATGGTAAAGTTACTGTATGGTCTTGCCATATATGGCTTCATTAGAGATAGAATCTTACCTAGCCAGCCTTTTGTTTGCATGCTCATTCTACTCTCTCGGGCTTTGCTCATGCTGTTCTGAAACCTTCTCCTTGCCCTGAGAATGCATTGAGCCTAAATTTACCATTCTTCCAGGACTCCTGGTGTCCTTCCCCTCATGTACTCACCAGTTCCTTGAGTAGTACCTGTACTTGCTAAATGTCAAGTCAGTGTCTGGATGTGTGGACCAACTGTGCCACCTTACAGGCATCTTTCTCTTCTATTGATTTTGTTTCCTTTAGCTACTGTACTTACCACACACTTGTCCAATTTTTGTGGAGTGTGTGTGTGTGTGTGTGTGTGTGTGGTGTTTCTCTGACCAAACTGTAAGCTCGAGGGCAAGCTCATTCCCCTACTTCTCACCTGCCCGTTCTTCACTGGGACTGCTCCCTTTCTTCTCCCCAGTGTTTACAAGACATTTTGAAGCAGCTATGATTTCCTTAAGCAAAGAATTCTTAAGAGTAATTCTATTCATTCATTTTAAGGACGATGATTAAGGAGTGAAATTTTAAGGACAAAAGACTAGAGGAAATGCAGATTACCTGGACCTGAGAAGTAAATGCTTGGCCTTGAAATTACATTTAATCAAACTGTTAGCAAATATGGGATTAAGTGTCAAATAGTAGAACAAATTATATATAAAAACTGGATATGGTTTGGCATCTGATATGTATTTTGTATAAACCTCAGACTGTAGGTCTATGTTGTTCTCTACAGTAGCCACTAGCTATTTGGGGATATTTAATATCAATTTAATTCTTTGGTTATATTCAGGTGGTCTAGGCAGTTACCCTGCCAACCCAAAGATAGATGGTTTGAATCCACAAGAGGAAGATGGGCAGTGTCCTGGGTGATTTACAGCCTCTGAAAACCCCCTGGAGGGCCAGCTATGCATCAGTTCTCACACAGCAGCAATGAGCAATCATATTAGTTCAAGTGCTCAGTAATCACAGCTGACTTACAACTTTTCTCTGAACTACACAGAACTACATCCCATCATTGCAGAAAGTTCTCATCAATAGCACTGCAGAGAGAGTGCTGATATGAACCTTTCAGAAATCGGAATTCTCATGAGGTTAAGAGTAGGCATGCAGAATGTACTATAATGTAAATGATGAGTATTTTGGGGGGTAAGAAGAAAAAGTTGAGGTCCTGTAGTCTAAGATTGAAGTTTTAAAAAGCCATAGTCTCAAATCTCATGTATTGTCTTTAAAAAGTAACACTATGTAATCAAAAAGCTTACCATTTTGAGTTAGTGTGATTAGAAAAGGCTTTGGGGAAACTTAATGCTGTATCTAGCATATAGGCTATAGATGCTTATATAGGTGTATATTGATTCAGCCATTGGAAGTAACTTTGAGCAAAGGTATACTTTTCCCAGTGATGGGATGCATCAGTAAACAGTACAGCTATTTTAGTCCTTTGGCAAAGTTCTGAAAATTTCTTTTAATGCTGCATTGTTATGTACCATTGAGTTGCCTGTGACTCATAGCAACTTTGTGTACAGCAGCTTTGAAGCTTGCCCTGTCCTGAAGCAGTCTCATTGATTCCGACACACCCATCCCCATTGCTCAAGTCACTGTAATAGTGAATAAAATTGTTCCATTTCTCTACCCCCCCCCCTGGTGTCCTTCCAATAAACTGGTTCTATGGAAACGTGATGTTTGGAGAGAGAGCTCTAATAATTAGCAAAGCATATACATGACAGGTCGACCTCTAAGAATGGTCCCCAACAGCCCTGCACAGTGCCCCACCCCCTTCAGTATGCGGGTCAACCTATGACCATTCTATAGCAAGAGGAAGATTATCTAAATGTGTAAGCCCTTTACAGGCTGTCATCTTTGACGGGTAGCACAAGTCCACGACTGAAAGCAAGAGACTCCTCGAGTGACTATATGAGAAGGAATACAGGAATTGAATTGAGAGAGGCCTCTGCTGGCGGCCAAGGACATGGACACCTCAGCCCCACAGCCACATAACTTTGAATGACCTTTGAAAGCGGATTCTTCTCCAAAGTCTCCTGATTAGAACCCAACCTGAGTCTGACCTTTGAGACCTCAGTGAAGCCTGCCTGGACTTCTGATCTACAGAACTCTTAAGAGAATAAAAAATTGGTGTAAATTTGTGGCAATTTGTTATACACAATAGAAAACTAATATTTAAAAGCAGTAAAGAAGAAAAAACAATCTTCATATTTGAGTACCTATAGTATGTTAGCTATTTCTTGTTAGATGCATGAATAAATTCTTATGTTAGCAAATCTTATACCTAGTCCTCATCTGGGATATTCTCTGCCAGAGATCTCTAGTAGTCTTGAAGTTTGTTAGCAAAATGTTGCAGGATCCTAGTAGCATTTCCTACAGGCACTGCCAGAGCTAGATTTTAGGAATAGGACTGAGAATGTATAAGAAATCTTTTTCTAGAAGAGGTATTAATATTGATTTAGATTGCTCCAAATTTGTCAGAATGTACTATTTAAGAATGGTAAGCAGTGGTATTCTTAAATAAGATAGTACATGTACAGGAAAAATAGCACCTACCTTTATGTAGAGATCAAATGATATGGTCTGTATTGAGATTAAATTTTTTTAAAACCAGAACTTTAGTTTATTGTCCAGCATTGACATCTTTTATGTGCCAACCAAAATTTTGTAGTTTGTCTTCCAAAATACCTTTCCTTCCAAACCATTAATTACTAATGAAGTTGCTTTTACATTGGTTTATCCACTAGTTTTTACTTATTTCTCCTGTGGTGTTGTAGCCTTTATGTAAGGAAATTAGCACAAATGGGAGATGGGAGGCAAATATTATAAAAAAGTCAGAAATTTTATCGTAACCCTAATAGTGTTGTAAAGGACCTTGGACAGCTGGTCCGGTTTATTCATTTCACAGAAAAGGAAATTTTTTCAACATCTGTATTAGTATATAAAATTTCAATTTTATGTTGATATAGTTGTATAAAATATTAATCTTGATATATGCTATGATTAATACTATGCTTTGTCTTTAATGCATGTGAACATATGCTGAAGACACAACAGTATTATTATAAAAACAAACATTACTATTTTGTTACACACATCCATGTATGTCATCAATACAATTTTTCCTGAAACATTCTCTATACCAGTTTGGGCATTAACTAGACCATTTCAAAGGAACAAACTAGAAAGAGCTGGCACACCAGAGTGGGCTGAGAGTTTAAAAAAAACGTGAATGCTGACACTCTTTGTTGTACAAAGTTATCATTGACCCTTTGTTAACTCTGCAGTAGATATTGTTCAGAAGTAAAGATTGCTTGGTGTTGGGAACACTGTAATAGTCTTGGAAGTTAGGAGGCTATTGTACATATCACTTGCTCCTAGTTCATTGTATTAGTAATAGCCAATTATTCTGGAATCCAGTTTGAAGGCTTGGTATTTTAATTAGTGTTCCATTTAATTTGAAAGGCTGTTTGCTGAAATTTTGTGAAAATACCTTTTGAAGATACATTCTCTGAGCCTTAAAATTGGCTGATTATTGACAGTACTGTAAGATGCACTGCCAGCAGATTTATACCTTTCATTTTAGTACATGATTGTAATGTTTTCTAAGAAAGATTTTGAAATCAGCTGTTAACAACCGTTTCATTTAGGGAATGAAAAATCAAACTGTCTCATTCAAAACTTCATTTCAAAGCTTGTGTGTTCATCTTTGGGGATGTTTATGAAACTATCCCTTGGAGAAACTGCCTGAGGAATTTGTCAGGTTATACTGAGGGGTTTTTTTCCTCCTTAAATGTATCCTACTTAATTTCCCTAAAAATGTCTTCATTGAATGAATGGTTAATATCTGTAGTAATATTTTAGGTACCTGTTAGGTTCGTAAAGGCAGATTATTTATTTTCAGATTTACTGCTATAATGGAAAACTAACTGGTCCCGTTGACTGTGCCTTTCATCACTGTTTCTCTGTGCCACAATCATTTATGTGTATTTGAAATAAAGAAGCTGAAAAGCTATGTTAAATTTAAGATTGTTTCTAAATAAAAGTAGGTAAAACGTAATAAATTGTAATGGTTTTGTTCCTTAATACTGCAAACGGTTAATAATTTACATAATCTTCTCCCAGTTGAAAATGGGTTATTAGATGCTAAGTCAGTTTCAATTCAATGACTTCATTTATGACAGCAAAACCCTGCGTAATTCTTCACCAGTCTTACTATCTCTGCCCATTTTTGTGGTACTGTACCAGTCGACCTTGTTGAGGGTTTGCCTCAATTTCCTTAACTCTGCTTTTCCAAGTACGATGGCCTCCAGGGATTGGCTCTGTAGGAAATCTGACAAAAGTCTTACCATGCTTGCGTCTAAGGAGTACTCTTTCCGCAGTCCATGGTATACTATTTTTTTTGCCAAAATAATTGAACGCATCAATTCTACTTTGACTTTCCTTATTCATTGTACAATTTATCAAGCAATTGAAAAATAGCATGACTTGGATCAGGTGCACCTCACACTGTCACTTTTCAGCACTTTAAAAGGAGATCCTTGGCAGATTTGCTTAGGGAGTCCTATATTTGGGCTTTTTTAATTTGTAAAGCCTTAGGGAACCGGACGTCCCGTGTGATTTAAGGCCTCTGAAGAACCACTGGAGGGTCAGCTGTGGGTCAACAACCACTCAAAGAATAAAAAACCTTACTACTAAGACAATCAGTGTTAATTAGAGGTTCACTCTATTATAAATAGAATCTCACTCAATAATTGGAAGACTCAAAAGTTAACCTCTGGCAAGTTACCAAGTTATAAACTCCATGGGCGCAGAGTGCCTATCTTTCTCCCACGGAGCCCCTGGTGGATTTGAACCACCAGAGAAGAGCAGATTGGTATGATTCCTTACAGACTACAATGCTAGAACTCCTTTCCCTAGTCACTGGGGAAATACAAATCAAAACTATGAGATACTACTTAACTGCCACCAGAAATAGCACTGGTCAAAAATAGAAAACACCAAAGGAGGATGTGGGAGACTGGAATGCTCAGCCTTTGCTCGTGGAAGTGTGAAATACGCACAATACTGGTCCCAAAAGAAGAAACACTGCCATGGCTTGTCTTGAGTGTAATGCATTTTTGTTTGTTTCACACAGAAAATGTCAGTGTTTAGGGTGTGTATAGTAGAGTGACTACAATTTGAGTTATATCCCAGGTTATGTAGACTTCAAGAAGTCAGCCTGAGATCTGTGATATATAGAAATATTTAAAATACAGGGGAGCTCTGGTGGCCTAGTGGCAAGGAAGTGCAACTACAATCCCAGAGGCGCATGGTTCGAACCCACCAGATGCTCTGCCAGGGAAGGAGGGACAATCTCCTCCTGTACCAGTCAGATCTGATTTGACGGTACACGCACACAAAAGAGTAATAAAAAAAAAAAAGAAATATTTAAAATACAACACATGAGAAATGAGAGCTGGACTATGCACTTAGGGAGGTGTGTTATTACCATGCTCACCAAATGAATACTCCTTCAAGGTAGTGATTCATATTAAAAACAGTTTTATATTTCTGTTTTCCCCATCCTCTTCTCATTCATGTAAACATTAGAGTACATAAAATGTTTTAGTTTAAAAAATATTTATTACAGAAATGTACATTTCATTAGATATAAGGAATGTATTTGACAATAATGTTCACATATATCCTCAAATTTGTAAACTTCACACCTTTAAGATATCTACAATGATAATTTATTTACAAACTTTACAAGCAATTTCTACCACTTCATCAACTCTGTTGAGACAGTTAAGACTCAATATTCTCACTTTTCATTTTACTCTGTATTTGTAGAAAGAACACAGCATGTGAGTAAAGTTCCAGCCTAGTGCTAGTGAGAGTCCATAGAGTAGTATGAGTGGTGCAAAGGGATAGAGAAGAATCACTGTATTTTTCAAAAATGGCAGTGCTGTAAAAGAAACATTGTAAATTAATAAAAAGGAGAAACTGACAGATCAATAAATGAACATTTTGAAAGCCAGCTCTTATAGGAGATGCCTAAAAAGCAAGCATACTGAATCAGTAAAATGCTACTGCCAATAGGGAGCTGTGGTGGCACAGTGGTAAGGAATCATGCTGCCAGTCACAGGTAGGCAGTTCAAATCTACCAGATGCTCCATGGGAGAAAAATGGACAATCTCCTCCTCATGAGATTTACTGCCTCCGAAAACTGAGTTTTGACCTGATGATATCCAACAACAACAGTCAGAATAATAGTACTCTTCTGTGTTACTTCCTTATTTAAGGCTATCAAAAAACTGAAGAGGGATTCAATACAGCAAATGAGTGAGAAGCAAATCTGAGACAAAAATAGAGGGGCAAACATCACAAATATTAATTAAAGAAATAGATTTAAACCTGTGACTCAAATGAAAGTCCATCTTAAAGTACTAACAGAGGGAATGCTGTTATAGCAAAAAACAAACTTTCACCCATTTGAGATTTCAAAAAAAACACATTATATCCTGCTTTGAGGAAGGGACATCTCGGCTGTACTTTCTCAAGCTTTAGGAAAGAATTTAAATTCTGGAAGAATCTGTTTGTTGCTTGATTAATGATCAGTTAGTGAAACTCTATCCCATGCATTCTAACCTAAAAAATTCTCACATACCAAGTTCACAACCCAAATCATGCTGTACTCCCAAAGAAACAGTTCTCAATGAATGGCAGTGAGTCACCAGGAGTGTGTTCAAAAATCTACTTTGAGAAACTGTGATATTCTAATCACAATTTTAAATGCTTCTTCAAAATACATTAAAATGTTCTAAGAAAACTGCACATGAGCTGTTACAAATATCTTTCCCAAAACAAAGCATTTTCATTTGAGATGGGACTGTGGGGTGCTAAGTGATCTCTAAATGATGACACCCAGGGACCGAGGTGGGCAAGATGAAACAGAGGAGCCGGCCACGCTTAAAAGTTGTATTTACTGTAAAGTCCTAACTCAAAACAGTGAAAAAGGAAAGGCTTATAAAATAAAACTTTAAAGAAAAATCTCCAAATGTTACTTAACTCTAATTATTTAATAAATTTGTTAGTATGAATGAAAAATATAGTATGCTCTTCCCTATTAAAAAACATGAACTTACAACAAGATTTAACAATACATCAGTAAACATATCCTGAGGTTAGTAAAAGTTGGGTCTAATCTTATCCAAGCAGCTGTAGAACCAAAGAGAACCACAATAACTGAAAATGGGGGGGAATGATGATTCAAGAAGGTTTTAAACAAACTTAAGTTCATATATCCACCTGCTCACACATTTGATTCACTGACTTCAAACTGTAACCACAGGGAAAAGGGAGAGGAAAACTATCTTCATCTCCTCTAAGGAGCTTCAAGATCACCAATGAGTTTAAAGTGGCTGCTCAAATCTATCAAATATACTGTAGCACAGCTATGCCACTTTCTAGCTGTGACCAAGGGCATGCTACTTCATTTATCCATGCCTTAGCTCCTTTGAAAAATGAGGGTCAGTAAAGCTGTATGATCTAATTGCTGAGGACCGAAGTACTCCATTAAGATAAGCTGCTCGTATTATTAAAGCACCTATCCATCCCTGCTGAGCCCCCATTTTTTAGTGTTTTTTTCATCACTTACCACTGTATCCAAGAAAGGTGACATAGATATAATAGCCAACTGCAATCAGCCATAAAGTATTTCCAATAAAATATCCAATAAATGTGTCTGTTACGATAACATCTGCCAAAAGAGATGCACACAATGAATCTCTTAACCAACACATACAATGATGGCTTTGGGGTAATATTTTGAGAATGGCAACTTACGATTGATGAAGAAAAGCTGGATAAAATGTAAAATGACTAGGAGGGGATAGAAAGCATTCAGATGCACATCAAAGGCATAGCCCCACTCTACATCATAATCTCTACTTTGTCGTTTTACTAAATACTTGTTAGAGATGAACCTGAAAAGTAAAATGAAAATTATTTTTCTTAATACAATTTGTGTGTTTTCTATGTGCCACAAACTGCTCTGTACAAACATTCAATCGTTCACAGACACTGTGTTTTATTAACTCTTGTTGATTAATGACCAGGTATTATTTTGAATACTGGAGATATAAAAGCAAACAAAATTCCATACCTTCAATTTAGGAAGAAGAAACTGACAAAATAAATGAAGCATGATAGATGGCATTATGGAAGAAAATAAAACAGTAAAGAACGAGACTGTGAAGATGAGATGCAATTTTAAGTAAGACGGTTAGGAGAAAGTACCATTTGGTAAAAATCCAGGGACAGTGATTAAATGATCTGAGTGCATTTGAAGAATGTTACAGACTAATGGACCCGGAATAAGTGGGAAAAACAAATAAAAATGGCATGAAATCACAAAAGAAACAAGGAATGCAACCTTATATGACCTTGCAGGCTATTGTAGTAACTTTCTTTTTTACACTTCATGAACTGAGAAGCCAGTGAAGAGTTTCCAGCAGTGTCTGCCTTGTTTCAATGGGGTCATTCTGGCTGCTTATCTGAGAACAGGCAATTGGGGACAAGAGTGGAGGCAGAGAGACCCACGAGAAGACAAGTGAACAGGGTAGTAGCCCTGGAGGTTGAGAGATACAGGATATAAAACATTTGGAAGGCAGAGCCAAAAGGATTTGTTAAAGGTTGGATGTCAAGTGTAAGAAAAAAAGAACCATGGATGACTGGAAGGTTTTTGCCTTGAGCAAATGGAACGATGGAGCTGTTAATAACTCTAGTGGAGATAACAGTATAAGAGTGGTTTAGGGCAGGAAGAACAACACACAAACTTGGATTTTGAACCACTGAGCTGAAGATGCCTATCAGTCTGGAGCATGAAGTTGTAAAAACAACTATAAGCTACAGTTTAGAGAAGGATCCAAATTGGAGATACAAATTCTTCAGTATCTGTTGCAGGTACTGGGTTCTATCCAGCAGACCACATCTCACAGTGATCCTCTGAACAGCATGTTGTTGTTGATTGCTGTCGAGTTGAGCACAACTCATAGCAATCTATGAACAGAAGACCTAATGCCTTTCCATAACTATCGTCATTTCTCCAAGTTCATGGAGTTTCCAGAGGCATGTGGTTTAGGAAGTGGATGCCACTCCTACTTCCAAACCTGTTTTACAACTGGGAGCTCTACCAAATACTGTCCACATTGGGAAACCATTCTGGTATTTGATACCCAATGGTATAAGGTTCAGCATCACAGCAATCCCAAGTTACGTCATACTACACATTGACTAAGAGTGATATACAAAGTGGAAAAGTGTTCCTCCAGATATATCAGCACTAGTTTTATTTAGCACTTCTTTTTTCGAATATGACTAAGAATAAGTTTTGCACAAAAGATGTGAACTCCGTTCTGTAACATTTCTGTACATTTAGAGAGTTTAGAGTTTGTAGAATTTCCAGAGGCATCTAGTTTAGGAAGTGGATGCCACTTCCTGCTTCCCAGCATAAATCAATCTGGAAGCTCATCCAAACACTGCACATAATGGGTAACCACTATGGTATCTGACAAGACTGTTGAACAGTGTGCAGCATCGCAGCAACACCAAGTTGTACACTTCAGCAAATAGACAAAAGATTTAAGGAATATTCATTTGAAAATTAATAAATTTGGCCCAATGGCAAATGTGAACTCTATTCTGGGCCACCTACAAGCTCCACCATGCTCAAGCCCACTGATGTAGTCAAATGTGTCACTCCATCATGTTGAGCGTCTTCCTCTCTTCCACCAGCACTCCACCTTCCCCAAGATGATGTCCTTTTCTAAGGACTGGCCCCTCCTAACAACATGCTCAAAGTATGTGAGATGAAGTTTCACCATCCTTCCCTCCAATGAGCATCCTGGCTGTACTTCCTCCAAGACAGACGTTTGTTCTTGTGGCAGTGTTTGGGATGATACTGTCAACACCACAATTCAAAGGCATCAGTAATTCTTCAATCTTTCTTACTCATTGTCTACCTTTTAAACACATACGAAGCAACTGAAAATACTGTGGCTTGGATAAGGTTCATTTTAGTTTAAACTGGTATTGTTCCTGTTTAGCACTTGAAAGTTTTTAGCAGATTTTTCCCAATGGAATATTTTTTTTTACTTATTGACTGCTGCTACAATGAGTATTGATTATGGATCGAAGTAAAATGGAACTACTGGCATCTTCATCTATCATGATGTTTCCTACTGATCCAGGGTGAGGATCTCCATTTGTGTCTCAGTTCTATTTTCCTTGGGGTATATTCCTAATAATGGATTAGTTCATCATAAGGAGTTGATAAGGAGTTTCTACTCATTTTGAGGAAACGCCAAACTGCCCTGAGTGGTTATACCATTTTACAATCCAACCAACAGTGTATGAGAGGTCCCACCTCTCCACATCCTCTCCAACATTTACTGCTTGCTGCCCTGCTAAATTCTGCCACTGCTACTGGGGTTAGATGGGTCTTCTTTTTTTAATCAATGTTTTCAGGGAAGCTTGGACTTCTTTCATCAATACTACTAGTTCTTGATCATATCCTGAAGTGGTAAGGTGTCAAACAATTCTTTTTAGTAAAGCAACTGTATTTCTTCCCTTTTCTCTTCATGCTTCCAGCATTATTCAAGATTTTGCCCATAGAATCCTACAATGTTACAACTCAAGACTTAAATTTGTTCTTCAGTTATTTTCATTTAAGAAATGCTAACTGTGTTCTTCCTTGTTGGTTTTCTAATTCGAGCTCTTTGCTCATTTTATTACATATTTTGCTTTATCTCTTCAACTCACCCTTTGAAATGTTCTGTTTCGCTCTCTTACTACTTCAGCTTTTTTTTTTTTCTTACTTCTGTTACTTTGGCTCCTCTACATTCTCCTAAAGGTATAAGTCTCTTCTGACATCCATTTTGGGCTCTTCTTTCTCTGCTGGCTTTGGAATGAATGCCCTTTTTTAATGAATAATATCCTTGATGCCTTTCCCACAACTCATTTTGGTCTTTGGTCATTAGTGTTCAACATATCAAATCCATTGAGATGATTTTTAAATTCAAGAGGAAAAAAACTAAAAAAGCAAGACTAGCCATCAATTTCTGAAATAACAGTTTTAATTTCTGAAAACCCATGAATACCAGAAGAACATTGTTGGATATAACACCAGAAGATAAGCCCATCAGGTTGGAACACACTCAAAACGGTAATGAGTATGAGCTGCCTCCTTAAAGTACACTCTCCTTTAATGATGCAGATTGAGTAAAGCTTTCATCCAATGAAGGACCTTCATCTGGCAGTGTAGCAAGACTCAGAGTGCAGAGAAACAACTGCAAACATCCATTAATAATTTGAATATAGATTGTATGAAGCATGAATCTGGAAAAATTAGAAGCTGTCAAAAACTAAATGGAACACAGAAAGACTGACATCCAAAGCATTACCCACTGAGCTGAGATGAACAATTATTGACCATTCTGAATCAATCATATTTTTTATGGCAGGAAAGCCAAACTGAAGAGGAATGGTGTTGGATTCATAGTAAAAAAAGAACATTTCAAGATCTACACTGAAGTACAAAGCTGTAACAGGACTCTAGTCATACACATAAAAGAAACAGCTGTTAACACAACTATTCTTAATTATAAGCATCAATCACTAAAGCCAAAGATGAGAAAGCAGTTTTCCACCCACTCTTTCAGTCTGAAATTGATTCAAGATGCATAATAACTGATGAATGTAAAAGATGGAAACAAAGAGGACTGGTAGTTGAGACCACAGCCTGCTGACAGAAATGAGGCTGGAGAACTAACGACAAAGTTTTGTACAATGAATTATGCATTGCCAGTATCTTTTTTAAAAAAGTGACTATACACATGGACCTAACCTGATAATTAGAAAGAAATGAGACTGACTGCATCTATGGAAAGAACTGATGGAGAAGCTCAACATCAGCAATCAAAATGAGACCACAGGCTGACTGTGAAACAGACCATTAATTATTTGCATTCAAGTTCAAATTAAAGCTGATGAAAACTTTAATAAATTCCCAAGAGCCAAATGCAATCCTGAGTTTATCCATCAGTGTTTATGTAATACTGAAACTATACATCTGAAAAAGACCACTAAAAGAGTAAAGGACAGTTCCAATGCTTAAGATGTGGACCACTACTAATTAAAAATTTAGAGAAATAAAGAGACACTAGGAAGAAGAGAATGGCCAGGGATAAATCTAGCTGTTAGGATAATTATTTAAGCTTCTGTCACTTCCATAGCACACATGGTTGATCAGCTAGCTATCCAGTTCAGTGATGAATGAACAAAAGGGTAAACTATACAAGCAAGAGAAAAATCTATATTCAAAGAAACACTATTACTACAGTGAAAATAAAAATAGAAAAAGAATAAAGAAAAAGAGAACATCTTAAAAAAAAACAGATCTTAATTCTACTTTATAATACAGGAAACCAGGACTAACAGGTACAGAGTTAGCAAATGACTGAGCTGACACTGAAACCCTGGTCTCTGAGACTGAAATTTTCCATTGTGTTTTCTCTGATATACAATGACTCCACCACCCCTAACTCAACTACTGGGCCCCTACTAAATCACTCACAACCATTCCATTTCATCTAGCATGCCAACCACACAGCAGCACTTTATCTGTGAGAGAACTAAATAACCACATACTAGATTTTTCCAGCCACAAGTCCCTGGGTGACAAAAATGGGTAATTGTCAAACCATTAACTGAAAGTTTGGTGGTGCCTTTCAATATAGGCCTGACCATCTATAGGTTCACACAGCCTTGAAAGTAATGGAGAAGTTCTACTCTGAATACAAAGGGTCACAAGGAATTCGCCTTGACTTCAGCATCAGCTAACAAGACCAATGCCCAAAATAATGTTAGGTGATGCTGCTGAGTCCATTTTTACTCACAGGAACGCACAGTAAGAGAAGAGAACTAGAAACATTTTCGAGACTATAGTGATTACAGGAGATCACAAGCCTTTTCTCCCACAGCAGCACTTCTTTTGTTTAAATCATCAATCCTTCTGCTTAGCAGCCAATACACTAATTACAGCAACCTCTGAAAAAGTCAGACTGAAAACACTCCCAAACAGCCTCTTTTTGTACCTCTGTGTGGTTTATTCTCAGCAAGAAGGGACTAATTCTTTTTTCCTTTTAAAGTCTTCATTTTCAAACACCAAAGATTCAATCAAGGTTCCATGGCATATGCCTCCAGATGTCTAAAACTGGTTTCCGCTAACAGTTCTCCTCAAAATTCTTGTATCGTCTATACCATTTTAAGCCAGAATTGGCTAAATCCATAGTATTTCTGCATCAGGGATTTCATTAGTACAATGTAATCATTATTTCTCTTCAATTACTTCCTGAATATGGACAATATAGATCATCCCTTGGAGTATTTTCAGATAGAGGAACTAACAGTGTTCATTTCACAGTAGTCTTGCCAACTAACATTTACTCTGCCAATTAATCTATCTTGGGTTCAAGTTCCAGCAACTACTGTATCTGTGAAGGGAATGGAGGTACTCTAGCAGTTACCTGAAAAACCAAAATTATGATACTTACCACATTAAGGTTGATATGAGAAGACCAACACCTATGCAATCTATGAATACAACCCAAAGGAGTAGTTTTATTGTCTCAAAAAATCCCATGTCCAACACAAAGCCAAATCCTATAGTGGACACTGAAAGAAAAATTACAAGATTTATAAAGGCACTGTGCTAGATTCTGGGGACAGCCCCAGTACTCCAGAGTCTACAGTCTAGTAAAAGAGACAGACATGTAAACAAAGCCCCAAAGGTATATTATATACAACTGACACAGAAATGTAACCTATACAAAGCCCCAAAGGTATATTATATACAACTGACACAGAAATGTAACCTATCTTTGAATTCAGAAGACATTTTCAGCATATTAAGGAGGGTCCTTGTCTGGCTGGCTCACCCTAGCATTTAAAACAGCCTCAATTTAGAAAAGGACAGATATAGTTGAACTCCAACTAAAGGGCAAAAGCAATCTTGCACAATTTAAAATCCTAAAAGTGGTTAGAACTCTTTTATCACACTGATGGAGAACTTTAAAATTGTTTCTCAACTTCACACCAGTCTCTTACAATTTCCACTCTGGGTCTGCTTGCTTGAGAAGTACAATTTCTATGTCAATACACTTCTTCACAACAAGTTGGCATTTGAGTACCACTTTATCTATCACACCAGACATGGAGTACATCAACCTTCTGCTTTTGAAAGATCTGGAGTAAATGCACTTTCTAGCATCATCTGCTTTAGACCAACAAACACAGGAAGAAGACAATCTTCTCTCCGGTGAGCTTTTTGAGGCTTCAGCAAGAAATGCCAAACATCCTCAAATTCTGACTTACAGTACTTTTACAATAAAATCTCTTTCAAAAGACAAATCTAATATGAAACATTCAATATGCTCAACTTTATTGCAAATAAACCAATACTTACCACACAGCCAGATACTCAAAAGGACTAAGAAAGCAGGGTCATCTCTGGCCCACTGATCCTTTGTCTGTTTCCGATAATGAAAGTTCCTATAAACCCTCTGTGGAGAAGTGAACAAATAAAGCATCTGCCAGGCAGCAAACTCAAAGTCCATCTGCCGAAAACGAAAAAGCCTTCTCAAGTACTTGTAGCGCTTTGCTCCGGCAGTGTGTCTTGCGGCATCCCTGGGATTCAAGGTACCATTTCCCTGTCCTTGGGAATTGACGGAAATACTTGGTAGCATCTTCCTAAATAGAGAGGGAAAAAAAATATCTCTTTCACAAGTAATCTGGGGGGGGAAAAATTAGCTATTAGAACATACCTTCCTAGTTACTTAATAGCAAGGAGGTTCTAGAGAAGAGCCAGTGGTCAAATGCAAATGGAGTTTCTGAAACTTGAGAACTTTTTATAGCAATGGCAACTTCAGCCCTTCTAAACCACTGTAATAATATTCTCCAAGGACCTAAGGGTTTCTGCACACTTCAGTCATCCTCAGCCAGACACCTGAGGTGGCAGAGAGAGAGGCATTAAGTAGGAAAGGAAACGGTAATGATTACAGAGATAGTCCATATTCCCATGCAGGAAGTTTGGCTTCAAATTAAACGCTCTTCACTACCAAATCTTAAAGGGAAAAATCCTTTTGGTTTTCGAATAAAAAAAAAAAAATGTTACCAAAAATGTCAACTACGTGGCCAAATTAAACAAGTCCATCAGAATATGGCCATCATCACGATACTAAGCTCCTCTTTTATTAAAGAATGACATAAAAAACAAAACAAAGCTCAGATCTCTAGTGGGGTTCCCCCCCTTAATAGGTCAGTGGAAGAAATGTCAACATGAGATTTCAGCCAAACCAAATGTGCGCAAGTGACCGCCCCACACCCATAACTTAGTCTTACAGGGGCTCGGGGCGGCCACAGGACCCGGGCAGGCCCAAGCCGAGAGCCATGGGTAAGGCTGCCAGATTGCTGGGGGAGCTGTTGTCCAGTCGACTCCGACATATAATGACATAGAGCAGATCTAAAATTTACGCGATTCGGCGCAACTACCATTCTAGACGCCAATTCAAACTTTCGTACAAACCAGAAGTAACTTTTTAGCCTAAACACTTCGCACCAAAATTTGGGGCAAGTTTATTCTAAAAGAAATGTTAAGTAGGAATCCTGTATTTCATCTGGCAACCCCACCCAAACGCAGAGGGCCGGACCTCGGGCTAAGAGAAAGGGGCACCTGGCGCGAGCCCGAGAGGCGCCAGGGCGGGGCGGTCCTCAGGCCTCACCTGAAGCCCCTGCGGCCTCCGCCAGGGACCCACCGGGCCCGCCACCTCAGTCCAGCGGTGGAGCCCAGGAGAGGCCGGGACGACTTCCCTTCCTGCAACGTATCAGGCGCCGGCGCTGGGGGAACGTCGCATCACGTGAGCCCACTTCCGCCGGCGCGCCCCTCTCGGCTTCCGTAAGCTCGACACGGCGCACTTACCGGAAGTTGATATTGCCTGCTTCCTGTTATTTAGGTCGTGGCTACCTTTTGAGCGTAGTCGGGTGTTGCTTGTTGCTTCTTGGAGCTACCAGAAGGCCGAAGCCAGCAGGGATCGCTGTAATGCCCCGCTACTATGAGGGCAAGCCAGAGGGCGGCGCGTGCGCCGGCTTGAAGGAGGACCTGGGCTTATGTCTGTTGCAGTCGGACTGTGTGTTGCAGGTAACGCGGCCGACCACCGGGAACGGAACTCAGGGAATTGACAACTACAATGGGGAGGCAGGGCGACCTTCCCAATTACCTGAGGTCGTGACCAAGAGAAGTGACTTAGCGTTAACTCAGTGGCTGATTTGAGGCAGATGTCTGCAGGAGTCAGTTCCCTCCTCTGTAACTTGAGCACAGCAGGAATACCCGCCCTGAGGGGGTTTTGTAAGTATTAAACGGATCTGTGAGTTTGGTTGAAGAAACACTTATTGAATGCTAGAATTTTGATACGAAACAAAAGAATAAGACCATTTTCTTCGACACTAGGAAACGAGAATCTGTAGAATTCGTTATTTTAGGGTCTACGGAAACTGTATCGCTTAGTATTTTTTTTTTCTATTGCTGTTGTTACATGCCAACACTGACTATCCAGAGAGAGGACTGCCAAAAGAACAAGTAAGTCTGACGTGAAGGAAATGCAACCAGGTTTTTCCTTTGACAAGGCAAATAGTAAAACTAGCTCTTACAAACTTCGGACGTGTCGTAAGGAGGGCCAGTCCTTGGGAAAAGACAACATGTTGGGAAGGGTGGAGGGTCAGAGAAAGAGGAAACCTTCAACAAGATGAATTGATACAAGCCTATGAGAGAACCTGAGACTAGTGCAGGATAGGCGTGATTTAGATCTGTTAGTCATAGGGTCCTTATGAGGCAGAGTTGACTCTATGGCATCCAACAACAACTATGCATATTAACATAAAAGACTCTACCGAAAGCAGATTGACCTGCAGTTTTTCATATCACTGAACACAATAAGAACATTAAATTAACGCTAATTGTTGTTGTTGTTAGATGCTGTCGAGTATGTAGCGACCCTATGAACAAAAGATCTTAACCCTATTCTGTCCAGTGCCATCCTCACACTTCCTGACACACAAGGGCCCTTTGGGGCAGTCACTAGGTCATTCCACCTGATTGAGGGTCTTCCTCTCCTTCATCAACCCTCCACTCTTCCCAGAATCATGTCCTTCTCCAAGGAATAGCCCCTACTAATGTCCAGAGTAACTGAGGCGAAGCCTCATCATTATTGCCTCCAAAGAGCACTCCAGCTGCATCCTCTACAAGACATATCTGTTCCTTTGGCTGTCCATGGAGTATTGAATACTTTTCTCCAGCGTCACAGCTCAAAAATGTCAATTATTTTTCCATCATCCTTATCAATTGCTTAGCCCTCAGATGAATAGCAAGTGATCAAAAGACTGGCCAGAATCAGATGCACCTTAGCCCTCAAAATGATGTCATTACTCTTCAGTAATTTGGAGAGGTCCATACCTGAAGTTTTTCCCAGTGCAGTGTGTCTCCTTATTTCCTGATTGCTGGTACAAAGCTGTTAATTGTGGACCCAAGCAAGATGAAACTCGTGACAATTTCAGTCTCCTCTCCATACACTATATGGAGTGGTAAGAACCTTTGTTTTCTTGACATTGAGGTGCAGTCCATACTGAAGGCTGCATTTTTTGGTCTTCAGCAATGAGTGTTTCAAGTCTTCCTCACTTTCAGCAAGCAACAATTAGATTTGCAATTGCAAAAACAGACTCCTCAAAATTTATAAACCACAGAGTTCATGTGCAAATAAACCACATTTTAAAGGCATTGATTTTTCTTCTGTCATCGTTAGTCATTGTCCAGCTTTGAGATGCATAACAAGTGAGAAAGCCATGACCTGAATCAGTGATAACTTGGTCTTTAAACTGGCATCATTGTACCTTGTGCCATGGAATTTAGGAGAGACCTCTGACAGCAGATTTTCCCATTGTATTACATCTTTTGATTTCTTGAGTGCTAGTACCAAGGGTGTTGTGGATTTAAGTACGATGAAAACCTCAGTCTTTTTTTCAGTGTAAGATTTTCTCCATTAACCCAAAGGGAAAGATTTTTGTTTCTTGATGTTGAGCTGTGATCCTTATTGAAAGCTTGTAGTCTTTGATCTTCAGCACAATTATTTCAAGTCCTCACTTTGATCAAACATCTGCATAATGCAGGTTGTTGATGAGTCTTCTTCAAGATTCAGATATATAGATAGCAATGGGAATCTAGGATTGAACAACATCAGAAAGACTAAAAATTGCCAAGAATAAATTTTTGACAAATAGATCTAGCACAGACACGACCCTGTGTAGCTCTTTTCCTAGTGAAAACTAAAGAATGTTGCTGCTGCTAGCAAAATAAAAGTCTGGGATAGTTCTGCAATTTTTGGAATGAGAACCATTATATCATAATTGGTCTTTGTGAAGACAAATTAGTAGGGAGGTGGTTATTGTTGTTAGGTTCCTTCAAGTGAAGTGTGATTCATAGCGACCCAACGCACAATAGGCTGAGCCCTGTACTGTCTTGTGCTAACCTCACAATCACTGACACACTTGGGACCACTGCTGTAATCACTGCGTCAATCCATCTAGGTGAGGGTCGTCTTCTCTTTCTCCATCCTTCCATCTTTCCAAGCATGATGTCCCTCTCCAAGGAATAGCCTCTTCTAGCAACATGTCCAAAGTATGTGAGATGAAGCTTTATCATCTTTGCCTCTGAGGAGCACTCTGACTGCACCTTCTCCAAGACTTACTTGTTTGTTCTTTTGGCAGTCCATGGGATATTTGGTATCCTTCTCTAAGACCACAACTGAAATGTATTAATTCTTATTTTGTCATCCTTATTCATTGTTCATCTCTCAGATGCTCAGATGCATAGCAAGTGATTGAAAAGATTTTGGCCTGAATGGAGTTAGTCCTCAAACTGACGTCATTATTCCTCAGTAATTTGGTAGGGTAAAATGTTAAAAAATCAATTTTCATTGCAGTTACTTGCTGCTTTGTCTTTAGGAGTTCTTGGATATCAAAGTTTTAGAAAAACCCTCCCTTTTATACTTCCCTTTTCTTACCTACAAGGAAATCAGGGTAACAGGTTTTAGATTTTTATGTAAACATTGTAAAGCAAAGTAGCAGTCAAAATGAGTTATAGACCATTATGTAACTTACAGTTTTCCCTTATTGTTTTATTTAATTGAAATGAGCAATTTTAAAAAGGATAGTTATTTTATAGTAAAGATTGCCAGGTATTTACCTTAATGTTTTATATATGTTACAGGAAGGAAAATCTCTTCGACAGTGTTTGAAGGAAGGAAACTGCAAAGCTTTGAAATACTCCTTTTTTGAATGTAAAAGGTCAATGGTAAGTAGTGAACAATTTAAAAGCTGTTAGAATTGTGAGGAGTTAAGTATAGCAATAGTTATAAAACGGTTAAAAAAAATTTTTTTTTAAAAAGGTTTCAGTGATATAGCAGGGGGAACTTACTCCAGTAAGTTATAGATTTTATAGTTGTATAAGAGAGTTTTTGTGTCCCAGTGGGCTAAATGTTGGGCTTCTAACTAGAAGCTCAGCAGTTCAAATCCACCAGCCATTCTGTAGGAGAAAGATGAGGTGGTCTTCTTCTGTAGATCTATAGCCTCAGAAACATCACAGTGCAGTTCTAAGGTGTCCTGTAGGGTTGCTGTGTAGAGTCAGAATTGACTGGATATAAGTGGAAAGGGGGAAAAAACCCAACCAACTCATCTACAGGTGTAGCTACTGGACTCACCAGTAACTGCCCTGCTGGCAGTAGTGCTATATTGTTCTCCCGCTATGCTAACAGTTTCTGAAAGTGTAACAGAGAAGTCTTAACAAATATAAATGGGTTCAAGTGAATTCAGCTAATCTGACAATTACTCATAAATCCATAACATAGAGGTGTAAGATGTGTACACCTCTGACTTATGGGTAGATGTGATCTGGATAAAATATCAGTATCTGATATTTTGATTTTTGAAATGATAGAACATGGAGAAAGGGCTGAAAAGGGCATTACAAATATCTGAGATTTGTGTTTTTTGAAATATCCAGAAAGATCTTTGGAGTGGAAGCTGAGTAATACAAACTTGGAGGAAGTATCAAAACAGAAATTTGAGTATTGTTACTATTGTTAAGTGCATATGACTTATAAAAACATTATGAATAACAGATGTGAATATGACTTATAGAAACCCTATGAGTAACAGATCTGAACCCTGTCCTGTGCCATCCTGATCATCCCTTACTTGAGTCCATTGCCATAGTCACTGTGCCAGTTTATCCCACACAGAGTCTTCCTTCACTGACCCTCCACCTTTCCAAGCATGATGTCCCTTGCTAAGGAATAGCATCCCCTAGCAAAATGCCCAAAATATGTGAGATGGAACTTTGTCTTACTGTGGCTGCATTTTTCCCAAGACACATCTGTTTGTTCTTTTAGCAGTCCACAGGATATTCAGTACTCTGCTCCAACACCACAACTCAAAGGCACCAATTTTTATTCTACCCTTATTCATTGTTCAGCTATCACATGCTGAGCTTATTTTTGTTTGGTAGGAACCTTTCTCTTTTCATGACAGAGAGGCTGAGAGTTGAGGGTATTTATGACCCAGGAAGCGAAGCAAGGCACACTGGAGCATATTTTCTAACGATTCAGATGTGGGGAGAATGTAAAGTTAGATTAAATGTGGCCCTTTGTTTGATTTCTCAAATGGCCGATCACTCTGCCATGTTCTCCTGTTATTTAATGTAAAAAAGAATGATGTTTCTTGCCTTCCCCAAATAGTTTTGATACTCATGTTTTCATAAACTTTACATTTCAAAACTTGATTAGTGGCGAGCTCTGGTGGCCTAGTGGCAAGAAGCTGCAACTGCAATCTGAGATGCACAGTTCGAATCCACCAGATGCTCTGCTGAAGAAGGAGGAACAATCTCCTCCTGTAGCAGTCAGATCTGATTTGACGGTACATACAAAAAAATAATGAAATAAAATAAATTAAAAACCAAACAAACAAAAACCTTGATTAGGTAATTGAGAAATCCTAAAAAATAGTTCATGTAGGAGATGGTAAGTTGTACTAGTTAATCTTACTAAGTGACTGAATCTACAGGAAGTTACCTACAATTACTTACCTAAAGCTCAATCTATTTAAAAGAAAGTGGGTTTTTTAAAAAAAAACAAACATTTTTAAATTTTCAAAATTTCAAAATTTATCTACCTTCTGCAGAAATTTATCTTAAAAAAAATTAAATGTTTCTGACCATTTAAAACTATAAATACAATGTAGGCCTTTACTTATACTTTGATAGTAGGAAGAAACAGTCTGGGGAACATTGTAGCCGACTTAAGACTTAAAATTCTTAGCATCTTTCTGCAAGACTGATTTGGTTCTCTAGATTGAGTTACTTCACATCTTATTATTGTACCCTCAGTTTACATGCTTGGCTGAAATAGGAAGATAACAGTTTAAGCTATACAGGTAATTTGGCTTCATATTCCCAAATAAGTATATACCTCAGAGGGAAAGTGAGATGAGTATCTGCTTTCCCCTCTTTTTATGAGCATTTCACCATCTTTAAGTACATTAAGTTACCTGTGTTAAAGATACTCAGTGAGTTAATGGCTGCCCATTTGTGTGTTAACGTTCTTTGCTTTGAAAGATCTGACTGTGTTGGACTAAGTGCTAGGATCTATCTCCAAAATAGTTTCTTCGTAAGAATTTTTGAAAACCCGGGAGGGTCAGCTATGGGTTCATCACATAACAACTACTTGACAAAAAAAATCCCTGCTGATGAACTTGGTGTAGTTGTTAGGGAATTGTGCTGCTAATCCAAACATGGTGCCTCTGTGATCATATCCACCAGCTGCTCTGAGGGAGAAAGATGGTCTGTCTCTTCCTATGATTTTATAACCTTTGAAAACCCACTGAAGGATCAGCTGTGAGTCATTCCCAACTTGATAGCAATGAGGGAACCTGAAGTGGAGCCATTTTTGCTTTATAATGCCATCTTTATTTATCATTTTCTTGGCTGATACAGTTTTACTCTTCCTGAAAACTAATTTACTTTTCTCATATAGTGATACTGTTTATCAACATTTTACTTAATATGTGACAGTTATGAAATGTAATTGTACATTTCCTTTCAGTTGGATAACAGATCACGATTCAGAGGAAGAAAAGGATATTGATACCATCATGTTGAAGTCAAGATGAAAAGGATTTTCTGTAGTCATTAACGCACAGAAGCCAAAACAGGAAATGGGCCAGTCTGTTCAGCTGGATTTCCCCCCACCTACCTGGAAAATGGAGAAAATGGATGAATTCTGTTCTAAATAAGTATAAATAAAGATTTTTATGCTTTAAGTTATTTGTAGAAGAAGAAAGTTGAAGTGAACAATTATGGCCACATCGTAAATGTGTCTTGAGAGTTACTAGAACATTCTCGGAAAGGACAGAGAATGGAAAGATGGTTGTTTTCAGACAAATGACAGTTTGCACATCATTTGTGAATATTGACAAGATCACTGTGTGACAATCTAATCAATAATATAGACCCTGGAGAGAAAATGTCTATCAGGGCCATTCTGTTCTTTTATATAATTTAACCTTTGTAGTTTTAAACTATATTGTGTTTGTTCTTTGGAGAAGAAATGCCTTGTTTTTGTTGAATTGCTAAGGTAAGCAGCCTCAGAACTTTAATATACATGAAAACATAGCTGCATGCAAAGGACAGATTACATCATTAAGAGTTTTTGCCTTTATCACTTGACCTCCCCCCACCGCTTTTTGAGTCCTGTGTTCATTTGCAGTTTGGTCACCTCCACATGATGGGAAATATGGCCAGTGTCAGCCACAAGTCACCTTTCTTCAGATCACTCATAAGAGTCCACAAATCAAATCATAATAGGACAGTGGTCACTCCTGTATTACTTGTCCTTCCATTGGCCTAATCCCTGAGGAGGAGGAAAAGTAAATCTCACAATGATTGGACAGACCCGGGTCATGCCTGTCCCACTGCACATAATTGTTAACTCCCATTGCAGTCACATTGGATAAGTGGTGGGCCTCTCCCCAAAAGGAAAAAGAGTTTCAGAGGGAGCAGAATGAACAGGTGTTCACTATAGAATGCATAAGTGGAAAACAGTTTTTAAAAGTCTAGAATTACAATAGAAATTTTTTTTTTTTTATTGAACAATGAAAATCCCTAGCTGCCATGGTGGGTGTTCAGGCACTCCAGATGCTTTGTAGCCCCTTGCTTTAAATGTTCACCTGAAGTAGGAATTCCACAGCAGCCTTGTCGTGTTGCAGAATATCACTGAGGTTTGTTGTTCTGCTGTTCACTGACAAAGGGGAAAAGACATATTTTGTTAAAAATTGTTGCATTCCTATTTAAATGCTATACTTTTTATTAAAAGTAAAACTTGGATAAGCATTTCTTCAATTTATTTTATAATACTTCGTGGTTTTCAAGAACAGCTTTATTGAGATATATTCACCTTGTAAAGTACAAGATTCATTGGTTCTTAATATATTCAGAGTTGTGCTACCATCATCACTAATTCAGAACCTTTTCTAAATTTACTGTAGTTTAAGTGAACTTGTGTAGAGCAGTTTGATCCTCTGTTCAGCTATTTATACATACTTTATGATATTGATTGCACTTCCCCGCATTATATCATCCCTCTTTCCACTCTTTTTGTGGTTGTTATTATTTCCACTCTCCCTCCCTCCCTTCTCAGCTGTATCTGGGCAAATACCTCTGTGATCTTGTGTAATTGATTGTACTAAGGGCTGAATAATTACCGGCTGGTATTATTCACCGTATGGTTCTATTTTCTTTGGAAGTTGTGCCATATGGGTGAGTTCCATTCAGAACATTTTTAGTACCTCTAATGCTTCTCCTCTACTTTTTGCAAATACTAAGGTACTTTGTCTCTGGATTTGCCTTTTCTGGATGTTGCATAAATGGAATCAGAATATATGTCTCCTTTTGTGACAAGCTGCTTTCACTATAATGTATTCAAGGTTCATTCATGTGTAACACCTATCACTACATCATTCCCTCTTTGTTTGTTTGTTTTGGGTTTTTTTTATTATTATTATTCCCTTTTTATTGACAGATAATATTCTGTCTTTTAGATAAGTTGTTTGGTTCCATCAGGTTAATTCTGACCCATAAGTTGTTGTGTACCATCATGTCACAAGCAGCTCATACCTGACCCTTCAACGAGTTTCAGTAGGCAGTAAACCACACAGGAGGAGATTGTTCATCTTTCTCCTGTGGAGCAAACTAGTGTATTCAAACTGTATGCCTTTGGGTTGACAGCACAATTCCTTACCACTAACCTGCTAATCCTTATGTACAGCAGAATGAAATGCATTGTGGGTGGTAAGGATTTGTACTGCCAACCGCAAGGCCTCTGCTTGAAATATAACTCCTGCCCCATGGGAGAAAAGATGGACAGTCTCATCCCATGCATTTACCTGCGTCTGAAAATCCACTGAAGGGTCAGCCATGAGTCAGCTCCAACTTGATGATACATAACAACTACAAGGCATAGGGAGCTCTGGTGGCATAATCTACCAAGAGTTGTGCTGATAAACCAAAAGTCATATCTCGCTCCTGGTTTGAATCCACCAGTAGCTCCAAGAGAGAAGGGTGGTCTTCTCCTTTGTGGTGTATAGCCACCAAAATCCCTCTGGTGAGTCAACCATGAATCAGTTCTAACTCAATGGCACTGAGATTTTGTTGTTTTTCTACCAAGCATGATATCCTCAAAGCAACTAATGATATTAAACCTGCTTTCATATACTTGTTGGCTTTTTGTATAATTCTGAAGAAATGTATATTCATGTCCTTTGTACATTTTTTCAATTGAGTTATCTTTTTTAAAAGTTACATTTATATTGTAGATCAAACCAGAGCCAAATTTACTCGGATTCACAGTGATGCTACATGGCAGGGCTGCTGTTACTGTTTTAAGTGTCACTGGGTTGACTAGAAATCTGTAGCAACACCATGAACAACCTAGTCTGCACCATCCTGATGATCTTTGATCTGCTTGAGCCCATTCTTCCAGTCACTGTGACAGTCCATCTCCTTGAGGCTCTTCCCTTTTCTGTCTGCTCCTCCATCTTCCCCAGGATGATACCTTTATCTAGGGATGACCAGATGCCCAAAGTATGTGAAATGAAATGAAATATCATCCTTGCCTCTAAGGAACACCCTAACTGCATTTCATCCATGACAGACTTGTTTGTTCCTTTGGCAGTCCATGGAATATTGAGTGCTCTTCTCCAACACCACTATTCAAAGGAGGTGATCCTTCTGTCATCCTGTTCACTGTCTAAATTTTACATGCATAGGAAGCAACTGGAAAATACCATGACTTAGCTCAGACACACCTTAGTCTTCAGACTAACATCCTTGTTCTTTGGGACTTTGGAGAGGTCCATCACAGCAGACTTTCCCAATAAAACACATGTTTTGATTTGTTGGTGGCTGCTGCCATGCTGATCCAAGTAAAATGAAATTGTTGACACCTGCAGCCTTTTCTCCATCTATCATAAGGTTGCCTATTGGTCCAGTGCTGAAGAATTTTGTTTTCTTGATGCTGAGGTTATATCTGTATTGACATGTAAGCCACCAGTCTTCTGTCTGTCTGCTGTACTGTGGTGACTTGTATGTGATTCTGAAATCTATGCCACTGATGCTTAAAATGCCAGGAAGTTCAGCAGAACTTCCAGACTAAGACACAGAATTAGTTATCCACTTCTGAAATGACCAGCCTTCAAAAACACTATGAATAATGGAATCGTACTCTTTTTTTCTAATTTTGTCAAGAATGCTATATAAATGGAAAATCTTCTGGTAGTCAACTTCAGTTACTGTGTAATCCATCTTATTGCTGAGTGTAGGAAAGCTGGAAGTTGTCAAAAATTGAATGGAGTCAAAAATTGAATGGAATCAATGAAGATTGACATTCTAGGCATAAGTGAACTGAGATGGACAACCACAGGCCACTTTGAATCAAACAATTACATGATCTACTATGCTGAGAATGAAAAACTAAAGAAGAATGGTATTGATTTCATACTTAAAAAGACAACTTGACAATCTATCCTGAAGTATAACATTTGAGTAGTAGGATACTATCCATATGCATACAAGGAAGACCTGTTAATACATCTATTATTCAATTATATGCACCAACAACTAAAGCCATAGTGAAGGAGACGATTTCTACAAACTTTTACAGGCCACAGTTGACCAAACATGCAATCAAGATGCATTAATAACTATTGATGACTGGAATAGCAAAGTTGGAAACTATGAAGAAGGAAGGGTAGTCAGAAAGTACAGATTTGGGGACTGAAATGAGGCTGCAGATAGAATGATTGAATTCTTTGTGCTTTAATGCATGATTTATTCATAGCAAAGCAAATGCCATTTTTTAAAAAAATACAAAAGGTGACTTTACACATGGACCTCACCTGATGGACAGCACAGGAGTCAGATTGACTATATCTGTGGAAAGAATTAGAGAAACATCTGTTGCAGACCGATGGTAAAGTATTTTTATAATTATTAATAATAAGGCATCCAGGAATGAGATAAAACAGCATAAGAAACCGGGGGCCAGCAGTTCTGGACTTAAGGGCCTCAACCTGTGCCTCTTTGTGTATTTATTAATCAGGGGAAGCAAATGATAAAAAGAATTCCTTGTAAAGGAAGCCGAATTTTTCTCTATTGTCAACCTAATGCTCTAGCTCAGGAAGTATTTCACTCATAGTAACACTCCCTCTGTACAGGAGCCTAGCTGTCTCTTGTTGGCAGGGAACAGCTCTTTTTCTGTGATCTGTCACAAGAGAAATCCTAACTTAAAAATTTGTAATTCCTTCAATTCCTGAACAAGGGTTTTCATACAATATTTGGTATGAAGTTTGGCTTCCCATAAGCATCATATCATCCATCACTCCAGTCCAGACCAGATGCCAATTGTGAAACAGACCTCATTTACTCAGGTGCAAGTTTAAATTTAAGATGAAGAAAATTCAAACTAGTGCACAGGAACCAAAATATAACCTTGAGCCTTAATCAGTTGAATTTAAGAATCCTCTCAAAAACAGGTTTGAGGCATTGAACACCAGTGATCAAAGACCAGAGGAATTGTGGAAAGGCATCAAA